AGTTCTTACCTCCGGGCTGGAGAGATGGCTCAGTAGCTAAAAACGCTGGCTGTTCTTGCAGAGGACCTGGGTTTGCTTTCTAGTATCCACATGGTGATTTACAACCATCCATAGGCATGAACGTGGTACACGTACATGCGTTCAGACAAAACACACGTAAATAAATGCTTAAAAAGTGAAACTATATATTTTTTTAAAAAAGGAATCCTTACCTCGCCTTCTGTAGTGTGGGCGTTTTTAGCCCATTTCACAAATGAGGAAACGGAGCCCCAGAGGAATTCACCAGCTTTCCAAGGATTGCTCAGTCGCGGAACCGATACAGCGTGCCCAATTGTGCTCTGGCATCATTAAACACTTTCCAAGCTGAAGGGGGACCTGGGAAGAGCCCTGTGGTGCTAAGTCTCCTCTGGGGTCTGAGCTTGTGGGTAGGGGCAGAGCTAAGGAGCCATTGGCCCGGGAAGATAGGGCAGTGACAGAAGTGCAGGCTGGAGGCCTGTTCCTTTGGAAGTGGTCCACAGAACCCTGTGTCACGTCACCCCCTGGGCACCCATGAGGCTGCTGCCAACACACTGGGGGTGATATACACAGCCAGCTCTGCTCAGGGTGGACACGGGCCCTGCCGCCACTCACGCAGCTGCCCTTCCTTCGCCTGGAGCCTTCGACAGCCACCTCCTCAGCCTTCTTGTCCTCTGGGCAGTGAGGGGGTTATGGGCTCTGCCGCACAGCTGTGGCAGCTGTGGCTAGGAGGGGAGGCTGTGGGGAGGGCCCTGTAGGTCAGGCCTAGCCCTGTGCCCACAGGTGGTGAGCTTCAGTAGCCTGCGGGCTGACGCTTCGGCGCCCTGGATGGTGCTCTGTGTCCTGTGGTGCTCCGTGGTCCAGGCTCTGCTGCTGCCTGTCTTCCTCTGGACCTGTGACCGCTACCGGGCAGACCTCAAGGCAGTCTGGGAGAAGTGCGTGGCCCTTATGGCCAATGATGAGGACTCTGACAATGGTAAGGATGGCTTCAGGGTGGCCCCTGGGGAGTGCAGCACCGGGGTGAGATCTGGTGTCTGCCGAAACAGTCATTTGGTGTACCCCATTTGGTGGGGGGTACACGGCCCTTAGGTGACCCTGTTCCGACCACCACCAGATATTCCTGTGGCAACAGGCTGTGTGTCAGGAGCTGTCAGCCTGTGTGGGTGCTTGGCCCCGTGGAGTCCCCACCCCAAATCTCAGAGGAGCGAAGTGCTCAACATGTCAGCCTTCAGACTCACAACTAAAGTGTGTTGTAGCTGGGACTTGAACTCGGAACCCTTGCCTGCCCTTTCTGCAAACTAGTCCCTTCCTCATGGGGATCCTTAAAACCTTCCTGATGCCCCCACGTTTTCATGGTGCTTCTGTCCTATCCTGCAGAGACCAGCCTAGATGGTAGCATCTCCCCTGACCTGGTACTGGAGCGCTCCCTTGACTACAGCTATGGAGGTGACTTCGTGGCCCTGGACAGGATGGCCAAGTATGAGCTCTCTGCCCTGGAGGGAGGCTTGCCCCAGCTCTACCCTCTGCGGCCACTGCAGGAGGATAGGATGCAGTATCTGCAGGTAGGTTGAGGCAGAACGGAGGGCCCTCCTCGTAAGTCTGTGGTGGACTATTCTCTCTCTTCCCCTCCCCCGCCCCCTCGATATCGCTCTCGCTCGCTCGCTTGCTTCAGGCATGCATGCATGCACGCACGTACAGATCAGTGGCAGTGGATGGCTGTCAGCCCCTGGCTTGCCTCGAGGTCACAGTCTTTGCGGGTGGGCCTACGCCCGTGCTCTGGAAGAGGGGTCCACTGGTGTTTGAACTGTGAACCTTCCCATGAGACTTCTCTCCAACTGACCCAAGCTTCATTCAACACCGAGGTTCAGAGAGGTTGTCACTTGCCCCAAATCTCACAGCTCCGAATCAGGGGGCCCTAGTCCCTGACCCACACACTGCTCTGCAGGGCGCGGGGAGGCATCAATGCGGGTTTCCAGGAGGGCAGCCCCGTTTCAGCCCGGCCGGGTGCTCGCAGGTCCCGCCCACACGGCGGTTCTCCCACGATGACGCCGACGTTTGGGCGGCAGTCCCGCTGCCCACCTTCCTACCGCGCTGGAGCTCCGGCGAGGATCTGGCAGCCCTGGCGGCGCACCTAATGCTGCCCGCGGGGTCCGACCGGCGGCGCGGGAGCCTTCTGGCTTTCGCCGAGGACGCGCCCCCATTTCGCCCGCGCCGTCGCTCGGCCGAGAGCCTGCTGTCTCTGCAGCCCTCGTCCCTGGACGGCGGCCCGCGTCGCACCCCCGACTCGCCTCCCGGCAGCCCGCGTCGCCGCCCGGGGCCTGGCGCCCGCTCCGCCTCGGTCTCGCTGCTGCCGGACGCCTTCGCGCTGACCGCCTTCGAGCGCGAGCCGCAGGCCCTGCGTCGTCTGCCGGCCCCAGCGCGGCCTTTCCCCGCCGCCTCCGACGGGACGGAGCCTGGTGAGGTCCCGACCCCTCCTGGCGGCCGTACGCAACGCAGCCACGGACGCCGGGCCACGCGCACACACGCGGGGCCCCTGCAGACTGGCCTGAGCGCATCGTGGGGCGAGCCCGGAGGCTTGCACGCGGCGGGCGGCGGCAGCACCAGCAGCTTTCTGAGCTCGCCTTCCGAGTCCTCGGGTTACGTCACGCTGAACTCGGACTCGCTGGGCTCTGCGTCCTAGGGCCCTCTCGGTCCGCCCTAGGGCCGCCATGCAGATGAGAGAGGCACAGCACCAAAGATGCCATCGCATGTGTTAGGCGCGCGGACAAGTACCACCCACCCGTGGGGTGAATGGATGGTGGGCTCTGCGCCCCTCTATGGTTCCTTCCTTCTGATATCTCCTGGAGGGACGATGGCCGCCTTTGATGGCTGCACAGGACACAGACCTGCTGCTGGGCCCGGCATCTCTCAGGAAGGGATAGGCTGTGCCTTTGTAGTGAGTGGCACCTGCACATTTAGTACACCTTCCCCAGCCCTCTGAGGCTAGGCTGGGGTGTATAGGAGACCCTGAGACCTGACCACCATGAGAAAGGACCAAATCCCTTCTCAGAGAAGCTTAAGCCAGAAGCTGCTGGACCGCGTTCAACTTCACTGGTACTGCCTCTGCCTCACCGCAAGGGTGTGCCGTGTAGAGCGTCTGTAAGCACAGGGGTCTTCAAAACCCAAACAAGTTCTACTGAGCAGGCTTCCCTGTCACCTGCCTCAGTTTCCCTGTCTCTGATGAGTGAATGACGGACCATGATACATCTCTCAGGGCTGTTTGAAGAACCCTCCTGGTCTTAGGGCCCTTGGTGAGGGTCAGCCTTCAGCAGTTGACCCCCAGATCTGAGGCCTCCCCATCTCGATGACCTTTGCCGTCTTGGAGACTCACTCTAGCTAAAGCACAACTCCATGGGTATAACAGCCACCTTGACCCCAGTAGTGTCCCCATGCTCGAGACTACACCATATTGCCTGTCTCCCACTAAGTCGGCCATTCTGTGATCCTGCTGTGAAGGCTGCGGGTACCTGGTGCACAGAGCTAAAGCAAATGGAAGTGGGCCTCCCTGTCTTGGTGCCCATCTCCAGCTCTGCCTCGCACCCACACAGGCACGGGTCCCGAAAAGGGTGTCCTGTACCCCTCCTCCACTGCAAAGAAGGGCTTTGTTCTCCTGGGTAGACCTCTCTCTGGGCTGTGGCAGGGACATGGGTCTTCCCAGGAAACACCCAGGCTGTGAGCTGGGGTGGGGAAGCACCACCACCGTACAGCAGAGCCCCTGTGTTGGGACCTGGAGATAGCCTCAAAGGCCAGCACAGAGCAGCCTGTGCCCCGTTCTCACTGCCCAATGGCCAGGCCCATCTCCTCTCCCTCTCCGGACAGAGTTCCAACTCCGGATGGGGATGGGTGACTGCCCTGTCCTAGGCCTCAGAGGACCCTGTAGTCCCTGGCTGTGGGGTAAGTGAAAGATTAGACACCCCAGATGAGCAGGGGCTGCAGTCAGTCCATCTTTGGACATGGGAGAAGCTTCCTCTGGTTATTTGCTGCTGTGCCTTCAGGGACTGACGTCATGTGGGGGCAGAGGCCACCAGCTAGCCACTGTCTCCCTCCCCGGCCTCCAGTTGTCAATTTATCACCTTGGGTTTTCACTCTGTTTTGTATTCAACGGCAATACTTGTAGTGGGGACCTTGTGCCCTAAGTCACTCCTACTTTATACAAACCTTTAAGGGCAAGCCCCAAGCAGCGGACCCTGGGCACCAGGGCTCTTCCCCACCCTTCTTCAGCCTCCTTGCTTGCTGATGCCTGTAAGGACCTTGGCCGTGAGTTACTGATAAGAGCACTATCTGTATACCACCGCCTAGCCCAGAGTCAGGGATGCGTTTGTAGATTTTTGAAAAACATTTCTGTACAGGACCCAATAAAAGTTTCCTCATGGTTTGCACACAGCCTTCTGAGGCTGGTTCACGGAAACCTGTTTCCACAGGGCTAACCCCAAACCTCTGTCTGTCTAGAGCCTGAAGTCCAGGCCAGTGTATCATTCATTCCCTTGGACTTGCCATTTCTCCAAGCAGGTGCTGCTGTCCCACTGGCCAGAGGCAGACCTGGGCCCACAACAGTAGGCAGCAGTGGGTGGGTCCCCTGTCACGGGCGGCAACCTGTGAACTTGACTCGGTACAGCTAGTCTGGGTGTGCCCGTGAAACCTCACTCCAGTGATTCCAGTGGAATTCACGCACCATTCCTGGTCCTCGCTGAGAGGTCGCCACCTAGCGGCAGGGGAGAGAAAAGTCTTGGCTTTTCTCCCACCAGGCGGGCTGACCAGAGGCCGCCTTGAGATGGCCAGGGCAGGGCTCTGCACTGGTCCTTGCTTCAGAAAGCCCGCTCTGTGGGGTGGGTTAGTGGGAGAGCCAAGTTGCGGAGAATCCTAAGTGGACCAGAACGTGTTTATTGGCAGGGCAAGAGACGCCCCAAACTTGATATTACCCTAAGGTAGTTTGTGGTGCACTCACGTCTCAGTCTGTACTTAACACCCAGTCTTTATTCAGAATTGCACGTTGGTACTAGGAGGTGCAGGGGTTTCTGACTGGACCCCAGGCTGGCTCACGATAGGAGCCTGGGAGCGAAAAACTGATCTCTCCCCTCGGTAGTCGCCGCGCATGGCATAGTGACAGGAGCAGAGCTCTCCGAGTCTGGGGCTCAGAAAGCACTATGTGGTCCCGGGTACCGGTCTTTAGAGAACACAAAATGCGCAGATCTCAGCGGAAGTCCCGAGGCTCGCGCTGGCAGTGCCACGCAGCAATTGTGGCGAGGCGAGGCAAGGCGGCGGAGCACTCAATGCACCTTAGGGGCGGAGCCGGCGCTGCGCGCCAGGACCCCGCAGCCGTGAGCATCTGCGAAGGGAGGGCCTTGGAGAGCGCCACCGCAGGGTGGGCCCCGTGCAGAGGGAGTGGGTTGCGATGGTAGTGAGAAGGTCTTGGGTGGGGGTGAGATGGGATGGGAGCTTCTTGCTGGAGGGGCGGGGCCCTGCGCGCTTTGTGCCCGTGGGAACAGAGCGCCCGAGGCCGGTTGAATGGGCCAGGGCGGGGCAGCGATTCTCCTCGCTGCGAGGGGTCCGCTCTGCGCCGCTGGCGACCGCGACCTTCCCACCGTGACGCAGCCGTGGAGAGGGGGGCAGGGGCGGAATGCCAGCCCCGGGTCCCTGGGAAAGGGGCACAGTCCACACGTCCCCTCCTAGCTCCACTAGAGGTGGGAGGAGGGGAGCTGGTCTGGCTGGTGGATGGGGCTGGAGTGGGTGAATTCACCTAGACCCCATCCGCAAGTGGCTGCGTGGATTTTCCTGCAGCCTCACTAGGCCACCGATTGAAAGAGTTTCTGCAGTCACCATGGGTGCGTCCCAAATAGTTTCTGTGTCCCCAGACTAGACGGCGGGTGATGGGGCGGGGGACGGGGTGGGGGGGTCTTGAGTCTGAATCCTTGCCTAGGCCTCACCAGGGCCGCCACACCCCAAGCCCGGGTCTCGGGCTCTCGGTCTGGCAGTTCGACACTGGTTGTGGTGCCGGAACGCCGGTGGAGGACTCAGGGAGTCCTCTAGGGAGAGGGAGCGGGGACAGCGGGGACTGGGAGCCACCTGCAGCGTTAGCAGGGCCCCAGATGGCCGGGAGGCAGGGGCTGAGAACAGAGACCGCCTGCGGGCTGGCGCTGTCCGTGGTGCTGGCTACCCTGCGCTCCAGCACCAGGGGGCAGCGCAGGCCGCTGCCATCCTCTCCGCGCCGAAGCCGCTGGCTCACGCCGGGCAAGCAGCCCTGGAAGCCAGACGGGTAGTCGACCCCACTGGGTACTGGCCAGAGTCCTGGAGAAGGGAAGGGAGGAGAGGAGGGGATAGAAGAGAAGAGACGTGGAGGATAAAGGGAGGGGAGAAGACTCCTGGGTGGGGCAGACCTAGGCTCACACTAAGCCAGTCCAGACAGGCCTTAGCTGCTCTTCCCCACATCCACCCCAGCTAGGTGATGGACCCTCCTCACCTCGCGGTTCGCTTCAGCTTTCCTCTCTACCCAGTAGCTCAGACTACTCTCCAACTCTCTATCCTCCTGCCTCAGCTTCCCAAGTTCTGGGTTTCCTGGCGGACAAAGCCGCGCCTCCCCGCAGGACGCCTTGGCTAGCTCCCACACATCCCTCCCCGCTCTTCAAGGCCTTGCTTCACTACCTTGCAATGAATTCTGAAGGCTTTTCATGTACTTGACACTCAGCTCCAGGATGTCAGCCTTTTCCAACTTCCGTTTCCGTATCTGCCAAGCCGTAAGCCCCTCTTAGCAGGCAGACTGGGGAAGGGCTGGACCCATCGCTCCCCTCCTCTCCTGCCTTACCTGATGCGAGTAGTGTCTCTCCAGAAGAGACTTGAGCTGCTCCAGGGACATGTTGATGCGTGCCCGGCGCTTCTTCTCCATCAGAGGCTTGGAGATCTGCGGGCCAGCCAGTAGTTTTTAGAGGGAAGGCCCTACCTTTCCAGGCCTCCACTCCCTCCAGCCCAGGGGTTCCCACCCCAAGAGTTCTCATCCCATACCCTTCAGGGCCCCAAACCTTTCGGAAGCTGCTGGCTGGGCCACTGGGGCTGCCCCTGGATGTGGGCTCAGTGCCCATTTTGTGATGTCTGCACAGACAGTAGGCTGCATTGCCTTTATAGGGGTACCTCGTTTACATGTCAATGAGGCTCTAGGAACTGGAAAAACCCAGAGGGGGAGGGGATGGAAAGGGGATGCAGGAGAGCTGCCCCCATATCCCTCTGCGAGGCCCCTTCCAATAGCCCAGGCTGCCTCTGGCTTTCAAGACGCTTTCTGCAGCTCTAAGGCTTCCTTTCCTTATTTATAAATTTCTTCCTTGGCTCACCGTGACTGCTCCAGTATGAAGACTTCCCCCAAGCCATCCTCTCCAGGCATTGTTGAGCCAGGACTGTAGGTCTCACCTCTGTCTCTACTTGCCAAGTCCTGGCTTCTTATCTCCCAACATTCCTCTGGTGGTCCTCCAATGTCACAGGGAGCTTTGTGTGCTGCGTGCCACCCTAAATGATGATGATGGTGCCCTAGGTGTCCCGAGGCCTGATGAAGACGCTGAGGCGAAGAGTGCTGGCCAGCGATGCCTTTCACGCTCTGGCCACGCTGAGATGCTGAATTAGTCGCCCTAATGTCGGGACAATGTAGCAATTTTCTGCCTGTGGCTTCTCAAAGCCAGTCGCAAGCAGGGCCTGTGGGGGCCATGCAGCAACATGTGTCCCATTAAAGCATGCAGCCCGCCCGCAGGGCCACAACGGGCCTCCTCTTTCCAAGGACCCAGAGACTGGAGTACTGACGAATAGAACCCAATATAGAGACTTCCAGCTAGGAGGCAGGCCACCCCACCCCCAGCCCCGGGCTTCCAAGCTTCTGACTCTGGTGAAGAACCAGTCTTTAAGAGAAAAACAACTGAGCCGGGTGTGGTGGCATGTGCCTTTAATCCCAGCACTCAGGAGGCAGAGGCAGGTGGATCTCGGAGTTCGAGGCCAGCTTGGTCTATAGAGCGAATTCCAGAACAGCCAGGGCTACACAGAGAAACCCTGTCTCAAAGAAGAGAGAGAAAGAGAGGAGGGAGGGAGAAAGGGAGAGAGCCTGGGTGCATCTGGGTTCGGCTCCTGGGAACCTCCTCTTCAGTTCAATGAGTGGGGAGTCGGGGTGGGGACCACTGATGCTCTGAGGAGAGTCCAGACTGCATTGTACGTCCCTGTACACCTGTCCATTTTCCGTGTGTGAGGACACAGGAGGCCCTGGAACCACCTGCTGTAGGACAGGGCTGCGATCGCCTCACACCACTCCCGTTGGATCAGGGAAGTTGGAACCACGGCTGTGGCTGACAAGGCAGACCTCCAGGGGAACTCTCGAGTTCAAACCTGGAGAACTCCTTTTCTTTCATTCTTCTGGTCTTCGTTTGGGGGCCAGGAGACTGAAGCGGCATCCTGACCATGCCTATGAGGAAGTCGCGCAAGTCCCACAGCATTCTCTGTGGTCAATATTGAAAACAAGGATCTCTGTATGGCCTCAAGAGGATATTGCTGGGTCAAGATGCCCCCAAACCGGGCATCTTTCTGAACCCTCCACTTCCCTCCTCCCTGTTCTGGGCATTGGCGGGCCTTGTCGGTGCGCTCCCAAGCGCCAAGCAGCGTGGAGAATCGAGCCCCGCCCTCCCCCTTTCAGGCCTCGGCAAAGGCGACCAGAACTCGGGAACCTTCTCCTGTCCCCCGCCGTAGGGTGGGTGGACCAGATACGGGTGGGTTTGTATTCTGGGCTGGTGACGGGGCTGAAGCCCAGTGGCGAGCGCTGCCACGCGCCGGGTAGTTTTAAAGCTCCCAGGTCAGGCGGGCCCTTAAAGCGCCCGGGCCAGCCGGGCCCGGCCCGCCTCAGTGTGCCTAGCTATCGCTTTGGGGAGGTGGCGGCACGGTACAAAGGCGCCGCGGGGCAGGCGGGCAGGAGGCTCCGCACAAAGGGAGCAGCCGAGTGTTAAAGGCATTGTGCGGTTTGCACAAAGCGGCGCCCGCGCCCGCCTTCTCGGGGCAAACTCCCGGCTCCCCGCGGCGCACGGGCTTCCAGCTGCCGCACATCTGTAGGGAGGCCCGGCGCGCGCCTCAACTCCACGGGTCCCCTCCACCCTCCTCGCTCTCAAGCCAAGTCAGAACCGGGGCAATTTGTCTTGTAATTACAATACTTCCCCATAAACTGCTGCCCGAGCCTTTCAGTCCAGTGAATTAGCAAACCAATGGTTCTGCGCACAGCTTTCCCGGAGCACTGCGGGGCGCGGGGCACTGGTCCCGCCCCCTCTCCAGAATTAGAGTCACTATAAAGTCCCCCTCTCTCGCTCCCGCCCGCCCCCCAGTACCCTTCACTGTCTGGGCCATCACCTCACAAGCCTACCCAGGAATCCTGGCTGCACTGGGTGGGGCCGTTCATGTGGGTGGCTAAGTGTTTCTTAGGTAGTGGAAAATTGACCACAAAATGTACTAATCTGCAATGTTCTGCTTTGACTGGGGGAAGTGAGGCCCGCCACGGGGCGAGGACCGGATTCTTAGCGGTTGCACTCTGCTGGGATCTGTTTAACAAGCCTGTGGCTGAGCTGCACCATGCCTCCCACCGCCCTTTCCCGTGGGCCGGTCCTCCTTCATTTACCGCTACAAAACACCCCCCAATGCCTGCTCCTGTGGCTGAGGGTCGTGCAAGCTCATGACCAGGAGGGACCCCTCCATCTCCCCCTCCCAACCCCAGCTCTGAAACAATCCCCTTCTTTCCACTAGGGTAGCTCCCATTACAGCTTCGTCCTCTAGGCAACCTCTTCCCGCACTAAGTTAGACCAGACCTGTGCATCCGGCGAGGTCATTGGAAAAGGTGACAGGTAAAGAGATGCAAGCTGAGGACACCATGGTGTTCCATCTGTCCATGAGAGACGTCTTGCCTGCCCCGGCAGGCAGACCCACCAGGGAGAGAGAGCTTTCCCAGAGGTGAGGAGAGACAGCTGCTGCTCACCTCACCCTCTCAGAGCAAGCTGGGCAGAGTTCTCTTTTGGACTGCTGGGAAGGTCATGGACCAGCTTAGAAACGCTGCTTATGCAAACCAGGATGTGGGCCACCAACTCCCTTCCTATCTTTAGCACTCAGGGTCCCCAAGGTACCTGGAAAGGAGTACAGGAAGAGAAACCCAGGCCCCTTTTGGTCATTCAAGGAAAAATGTTCGCTCTCAGCCCACCCCACTCCCACCCTGTCTCACACGGAGGAATTTAAGGGTGAAAATGGCCGGTGCCTCTGTGACTTTCCCACTCGATTTCTTGACTTTGGCAAGAAGTACACACAGTTCTGGAAACAAAGTGGGAGCGGGGCTTGAAGCCCCCAGACAAGGGCCCCACTAAGATGCCCCACCTCCCATCCCAGACACCAGCCCTTGGCTGCCCAGGGTCCTGAGTGGTGAGCACTCTCCTGCACTTTCAATGCTAAATGATGAGCCGGGCCCAGACCGCGGTGGATGCTGGTCGGAACTGGAGGAAGAAGCCTGTCCGCCTCTGCAGATGTGTTTCAAAGTGGGATGAAGCTTTTGCTGTGTGTAATTAACTATCAGGAACACAGCAAAAGCCCTGAAATGACTCCGTCGATTGTCTCCAGATGGGCTTGGAGAGGCTGCGATTGTTTAACTCTCTTTGGCTCTGTGAGGACATTGAAAGGCACAGCAGCCGAGGGCCCTTCTGGGGATAAAGGCTGGGACTTCAGTGAGTGCATCAACACTGACCAGGCCAGCCCAGCTCAGGAAGAGTGAATTCAGAGAGACCCTCTTTGTCCTGGCCTTTTGTGTCTCCCCCGAGCTGGCTCTAATCTTTAAATATTTACCCGGCCCCTTTGTTCACGTATGACTTATGCACCGTGGGCTGATGTACTCATAAATCACGCGTCATTTACCAGACTGGAAAGAGACGCTTTCATTCCTCCAGCCTGTGACTGCCAGAGAAGAGGAGAGAAAATGTTCTTTTGGAAGGCCTGGCTGTCTCCAGTGGAGACCCATAGCCACGCTGGACAGACTCCTCCCCACTGCCCTCTGGATAGGCCAGAGGCCGTGAATAGCCAGGAGCTGCAGGGGGCAACAGCCCTCTGCAGATGACTGATCCGGCATCCATCGCTAGGGAGGGGGATGTGAGCATCCTGGGCTTTCCTCCTGCTTGGCTGGCCTCAGGCTTGAATGAAATACCACGAGCCAGCTCTCACCCTGGGAATTTTGTGTGTAGAATGGGTGGCGTGTCAACGCTTGTCTCATTCACAGACCTGCGTTCCTGCCTTGGGCTTGCTCTGCTCTCCCCTTCACAATCTCTCTTGCTCAGTAAAACCATGCTGTTTAAGAAACAAAAGTCTGGGGGCTGGAGAGATGGCTCAGTGGTTAAGAGTGCCTACTGTTCTTGCCAAAGACAGCTCACAACTACCTGTAACCCCAGCTTCAGGGGTTCAACACGGCTTTAGCACTGCACTCACATACATACATACATACATACATACACACACACACACACACACACACACACACACACACACACACCTGCAATTTAAAGTAAAAAAAATAAATCTAAAAAAAAAAGACTGAAAAATGAGTTCACCTCAGCTTGTGGTTTAATTTGGAGATGTTAAGGTGGTTCTTAGTGTTGGTAATCGCCTCAATTCATGAAGAATTGAGTCAAGCTGTTTGGAGCAATAGTCCCTAGCCATTAAGAATTGCTTGGCCCCAGCCTGATGATTCTGCTCAGTCTGTAGAAACATTATGCTTGGGTATCAAAACAACCCACCCTGCTTCCAGTCAAACGATAAAATACCTGTAACTTCCTATAGCTATATACATATGTGTGCATGTGTACATACATGTCCCTAGCCTCTCTAAGTGTATACAGCCTTCATCCAGAGGAAAGGTCAGGGCCACTCGCTGTTCTGATAAAGCAGTCTCAGTCTGTCCAGATCAAGTCTGTCTGCTTCTCTGCCTCAGTTTCCAAAACAGGACAGCTCTCCAGCTGGGCCCAGCCAGGAAAGCTGCTTTAGCCTGTGGTGGTGATATCTAAGGAGTCATGAAGGTGCGGGCTGCAGAGGGACCCTACAGCCTGAGAAAGAGCTCCTCCTTTTGTGCTTGCCTGGAAGCTGCTAGGACAAAAAACATTCAAATGCTTATTTTTCAAGAAAAGTCGAAGCGCATCAGAACTGGCATCCCCCCCCCCTTTTTTTTTTAACTGTTCTGGAGACCTGTCGCCTCCTGCATTTGGATGAAGAGCTGGGTTCCCAGTGAGACTGTTTGGCCAGACTCTTCTCTGTGCATCTGGATGTAGCCCTCTCTGTGGGTGACTGTCTTCCTAGGTCTGTGCATGTTCCGTGACGATATCCCTGGGTATATGCGTGTTCTCCATGTGACTGTTCCTCTGGGTATCTGCACTCTGTGTAGAACTGTTCCCTTGGCTGTATATACTCTTCGTGTGTAGTTATATATCTGGGCGGGTGTGTGCTGTGCGGGGTGTGGCTGAGTCCCTGGGTACTTGCACTCGCTGGATGTGATTGCTTCTCTGGCTATACGTCCTCTGTAACTTTTCCTGGGTATATGCATTCTCCATGTGACTGTTTCTCTGGTTATGCACGTGCCCAGATGTGTATACATCTACCTGCTTGCCTCTCCATCACTGCACCATGAGTTCTAGGTCCTGATAGTTTCAGCAATCCCAGCAATCCCTAAGAGTTCCCACCCCCTGGAGTGTGGCCCCATCTGGCAGAGCCCATGTTTTCCTTCCTCCCAGCTCCAGGATAAAGCTGAAGAAGAACTGGGGCCTCAGGGGAGGTGACAGGCAGAGGACGGAGTTGCTCAAACTCTCTGGTCAGTTACACTTTGTTGGTTGCCTAAGAGTGGAGGTGAAAAGCTCAGGCCTGAGAAGGGGCTTTGCCAGAAAGGATTTTGTGCCTGGGCCACAAGTGCCTGAAGTGAGGGGCAACAAGCACCCTCTAGTGGCTCTGAGGTGTCCTGCTCCGGGAGAGGGGGGAGCCGTGAGGAAGAGGCAGCAGCCGGGACTCCTGCTGTCAGCCCTGAACAGTAAGACCCAGGCCTGGTCCAGTATGGCACCACAACTCAGTCACCTTTATGCCCCTCTCAGACTCTCCTGTCAAACTGACACAGCCTTGTTATCTGGGAAGAAAGCCCGATCGAGGACTTGCCTAGATCAGCCTGAGCATGTCTGTGGGGGGACAGCATCCCTCAGGCAGGTGTTATGGTCTGTATGAGAAAGTTAGCCAAGGATGGGCAGGTGAGCCAGCCAGAAAGCAGCGTTTCTCCGTGGTTCCTGCCCTGACTTCCCTCAGTGATGGACTGTGATCTGGAACGGTTAAGCCAAATGAACCCTTCCTCTTCAAGTTCCTTTTGGCCTGAGTTTTATCACAGCAACAGAAAGGAGACTCGGAAGCCTTATTTGGTGTGTGTGTGTGTGTGTGTGTGTGTTGCTGGGGCTTCATCATAACTGAACATTAAATCTCCTTCTCATTCCTATTACCCCACTAACAAATGTCTTCCGAGCATGGTTGCAACGCTGTGCTAGGCTTTGTAAATGATCCTGGCGTCATTCTTCCAGGTCACTGTCTGCCACTGAGGGAAGTCAGGGTAAGAACTCAAGCAGGAGCTCAGCAGAGGTCATGGAGGATGCTGCTCTATAGCTTGCTCACTTGCCCATGCTTAGCTTTCTTAAACAGCCCAGGACCACCTGCCAAGGAATTGTGCCACCCACAGTGGACTGGGCCCTCCTACATCAATTGATAATCAAGACAATACCTCATAGGCATGCCCATAGACCTCCTGATGTAAGCAACCCCTCAATCGAGGCTTTTCTTTTCAGATGACTCTAGGCTGTGTCAAGGTGACAATTAAGGTCAAACAGGACAACGGATGATTGTCAGTCCAAGACAGTGAAATGAGGATTCCATTTTACAGGAAGACAAGGTTCACAGAAGTTACCTGCCTCAAGTCACCAAGATAGGATGTGGATGGAGTACTGGAGCCTGGGACACCAGCCCATGTTGTTTGAATCTTAGATGGTCTTTTAATAAAAAACCAGAGCCAGATATCAGGGTGAAAGCTGAAAGATCAGAGAAGCAGAGCAGCCAGCCACTAGTTCTTACCTCTAGGAAACCCTCAGCCTAAAGAGAGTGAGTTCCTGTTTCCTCATGCCTTATATACCTTTCTCTGCCCAGACATCACTTCCTGGGATTAAAGGCATGTGTGTTCCCCAAACAAAGGCATGAGCTCTGAAGTGCTGGGATTAAAGGTGTGTGCCACCATTGCCTGACCTCTGTGTCTAATCTAGTGGCTGGCTCTGTCCTCTGATCCTCAGGCAAGTTTATTAGGGCACACAATACATCACCACAAGCCCAGGTTCTCCACCCCCTCTTATTAAGACCTGATGCTGTGTTCATATGCAGGGTTCACCACAGCAGCTGCCCCAGCTTCTCCTGGGGCCTGTCTCCCATCCTGCCTAGGCTTGCCGCTTCCTGCCTCCGCCTTTCAAATCCAGCGCCAGCTCTTGGTTCCTCAATGACGTCCTCATTACCAGCCCCTGAAGTCTTAGCATCCTTCTATCCTGTAGTCCTCGTACCCTAGGGTCTCTCCTGGACTCAAACCGAACCAACCAACCAAACTCCATGCTTCATAGACTGAGGATATACTCAGTTAGTAGACTGCTTGCCTATCATACAAGAAGCCTTCTGTTCAGTCCCCAGCCAGACAAGATCTGGAGTGATGGTGCACACCTGTTGGGACAATTTCTACAGAGCTGCCGCTGGCTTGGTTCCCGAGTGTTAGCAACCAGTTTTGATCTGCGTTTTGTGATCGCTACCTTTTGTCTCCCGGTACCTTCTATGTGAATCTTGTCTGAGGATAGGAGGTTTTTGGGATACGGAAATTAACTTGCTAAAAGATGTAAATTGGAGAACAATACAAAAGCCCTTTGCTACCAGTGAGTCAGTCCAGAGAGACTAATCCCCCTGCAGCTGGAAAAGGC